GCGCCCCATGGCCTGAAAATGCGATTCAATGAAGGCGACGAGGCAGATGTCCCAGAGCACGACCCCCATGTCATCAGCGCAGACGCCGAGCTCCGCGTCCCGGCCAGGTCCGACAATCGGCGCCTCGCGGGGTGGGCGGCTGGCCAGCGAGCGCGAGGGCAGGGCCAGGGCGCCAGCGAGGGCCCCCCCCGAATGGCGCCGTCGCGAGGGCCCACAGAGTGCCCGAGAGGGGGCAGCCCTTGTTTACGCCAGTGAGGACAACGCACATGTAGAACGACTGCGACCCGATGCGCGTCCAGCAGTGCTGCCCGTTGTGCAGCGCCCTGAGTCGGGGATGCCGAACTGGGAGAGTGCCGCAAAGGGCCAAGACCATGCAAGGCTAGGGAACGCCGCTGCCACGTCGAAGGAGACGAGGCACGGGCGCCGCTGGGCGAGGGCCTCGGTGGAGTCGAGCGCGGCGACCCTCGCCTGGGCATCCAACGGCCGCGCGTTCTCCAGGAAGTTCCGGCCCCTGACGAAGCCGCGCTGCGTGCTCGGAACACGTCTCTCCGCAACCGCGGAGAGATATCGATTGGCCGTCGCTGCCATCAGCTTCGCGGCAGAGTTCTTCAGAGCGAGCGGGCGGGTCTTGGCGGGTTCCCGCGCTACCTGCGCGGCCGACGGCGCGTCGTCGGCTTTTGGGGGCGAACTGAAGCCACGCGGCGTTCAGCCCCTCTGGGGGCCGCGCCCCGCTCATGAGGTCAAGCGTGGCGGCGTGCAAGTGCTTGATGGCGCCAGGTGCCCTCGCCCACGCGTCATGCGGGATGCCGTCGTGGCTGGGCGCCGTGGGGCGGGCGTAGCGGGCCGCTCACTCCACGTCTTCGACCTCTGGTAGCGGCAGTTGGATGTCTGGCAGGTAATTGAAAGTTGGATGGCTGGATGCCTAGCAGGGGAAATGGCACTGCAGGTAATGGTGCGCGTCGTCGACGGGGACCTCCTGGGCCGCGAAGATCGGCCCCCAGTGCGCTCGCAGGGCGGCGGCCATTCCAGCGGGGTCGGTCGTTACTCCACGGCCCGCGGGTGGCGGGGGGGCGGCGCCGCCAGGGGCGGGAGGCGCGGCGAGCGGGATCCCGGGCTGGAGCATGCCTGCCAAGATCTGGACGCTCTGGAAGGGGCGCCAGAGCTTCTCCTTCTGAGCAACTCTCACCGCCCTGCCTTTCCAGAAAGCGCCGCATGCCTGGGCGCCTCGCTGCTGGGCCGCGGAAGCGTTGGCCAGCGCAGCCTGGCGGCCCCGGCCATGCACCGCGGATGCTGCCCTGCGAACCGCTGCAGCGAAGCGCACGGGGTCCGAGAGGACGCAGCCGGCAGCAGAGATTGTGAAGTAGGCCGCCAGCACCGGAGCTGAGTGCGCCAGCACGCTGAGGGTGCGGTCGTCCTCGCGCCAATGTGCGCGGGCTGCGGCGCGGAGGACGGGCAGGTGTGCGTCCGGATA